GCCTTTTCAGTTGGATGCTAGTGGATCCCCTTGTTGCCACAGTTTTTGCTCAACCTGTCATCATAAGCGATGTTTGTGTTTGTGTTAGAAATAGCAGGAGAGTTTTCTATCGACTTTCCAATAATACATAAAGAACTGTAAACCAATCCATAATGAGCACTTATTCTTCTTTGCTTCCTTTTTTACTCAGATGCTTCACGTCTGAAATTTGCTTGGTGAGTTTTTAAAGTTCAGAAATTCTGTTGTGTTTAACACTTTGACTTCCTGTTGGTGTAGTTTTTCTCTCCAAAGGAACAAACATACGTAGACTGAAAACTGAGCCATTCAGGATCCTCTTAAGATCTCATATATTACAGCAAAGATACCCCACATTTAAATGTATCCACTCATCTCTCACCAGATCATAGTAATGATGTCCTCAGTTGCTTTAGTCCATGTGTTAAATCTGTGCTCTGTTTATAGACAGGATATATACCTTCTTTCTCTTGTTTTGGTAGTGAATGGTAAAACAAAAGGCCATGAAGGAGCTCCTGGTCATGCCTGTTTTGCTTCCATAAGTGGTGCTGGGTAAACTCCGTCTCAAGCCTCCTGTGCTAATTTCTTAATCTTCAAAGATTCTGACTTTAGATGAAGAATTTTGAGTGCACTGTATATTCCAGCATATGTCTTGTTTAACTTCTCCAAAAAAGTAATTAGAATTAAGCACAGTGTTTCATGTGTGGTTTTAAAGCAGATGAGTCAGTTCAGTTGAGCTAGACATTGTTTGAGAAACATCCAATACCTTTATTTAGATTGGGGAGGAAACTAAGAAATAAGAAGGAAAAAACCAGCAGATTCAGCAGATCTTATCTCACTATTTCCCCCTCCTGTTTTCATTTGCACTTCTATTTCCATGCAATATTTCATTTCTTTATGCATCTATCACTGTTTTCTTCTGTCAGAAGTTCAAAGGCAGCCTGCTTTCATAAAGGAGAGGCAGTATTGACTGATCTATAATATTGTTTCTACCTTTTTTGACCAATTCTCAATGCATATTTCAAGTTTTGAGAAGCATTTCATGAATCACTGGGCAGTTTGAAAAATCTATAGTGTAGGCTCATTACTTTGCTGGCTGCTGAATCTTTTCCATTGGTTGTGTTGCAAGGCAAAAATGCAGCCTTTTCTCTCAGGAAAAGAGGTTAAAATTTCATATATACATAAATAATAAAACAACACATGGAGGTGATATCAGTGTGATGTATTTCATTTTATATATACTTTTGACTGCCCTGCTGTCCATTAATTCACACAAACTCCCGTCATATTCCAACCTCCTTAGCACCTTTAGTCTTGCTTTTCTAGGTAGTCAGTCAAAAAAAGGCTCCTTCTTTCCTCTGAAATGTGGCACTCCCAGCCATCTCCCAAATGTCACTGGCTGCAGGCCCAGGACAAGCACTATTCTGTTCTGTGCTAGTGATCATGGTTTAAGCTCCAACCTCATGAGGCTGCAGAAGTGGGAGCTTTACACTTCCAAGTGAGCTCCTTGCCCCAGCAAGCAGAGATGGATAAAATGGCTGTAGGAGTTTATTTCAGTAGGGCCAGGAGGCCCAGCTCCTGGAGACAGATCCCGGCATTCACAGACCACAGAATGTAATGGAAATTACAAAATGATGCAACTTACCAGGAGTCACTTTTAGATTAAATTTAAATATTTAACAAATTTTTTCCCTGTTTCCCACCTATCAAATCTTAGTAACTCATTCTGCATTTCAAAGGCATAAGGATATCAAAGTGGTCCCGATACAGTTAACCTCACCCCTCCAATCTATTTTAAGCACTTCTATCACCAATATTTTTCTGAAAAACACCTTCATACACATAGTGTGATGGGAATGTATTTAAGTGCCTTCAGCACTCCTGCAGAGTGACATGCAGAACTCACCTAGACTTTAACTACTTATATCACACCAGATTCCTTTATTTCTCACTCTTTTGTGAAGGGTAGTAGATAAACAAAAACTCCCTTTTTCTTATTCTCTTTAAAATTAGGCACAGATCTAAATCAGTTCTCTAAAATACTACCTTTTTTTCTTTTTTTTTTCCCAGCAAGAGCCACACCGCCATCAATGAGTCACAAAATAATTAAACATTTAAGACTGTCTGGGCTTTTGTTCTGAGGAGGTGACAAGGGTGCTGAAGGGTAGCTGCAGCTTCCAGTTTAGAGGCATTCTGTGTACTGACTGCATGTGCAAACACTCTGCCTCTGGTCATGGTGGAAAGGAGACAGACACAGCAAGATCACACAGACAGTAGACAGTGCACTTAGGGAAAACAACATCTGGGTCATCAGCAGAAGCACCAACCACTGCCCACATCCCAAATTCCACTGAATATTTTGGCTACCAGTTGCTGAGGTGCACTGGCATAAAGGCACCTCAGGTACTCATTGCAGGCCAACCATCATGTGGAAAGTATCTTTATAATTGTGCATTATATTAAGGTGTAAATTATGCTATACAATCTCTATAGGAACTTCATGAGAAATCAGCCATAGCTTGAAAGGGTTATTTTATATCTATCTAAGGAAATCTCTGAAAGACAAACTGGGCTAAAATGCATTATAAAAAGGTAGTTATTTCATACATCCAGACATCTCAGGGGAAGTTACTCTTTGAGCAGTTTTATTTAGGACTCAGTGAAAGAGCTCTGCTGCTCCAAGTCCATTGCGAGATTTGTCTCTCTCTGCACCACTACTTCTTTCACAGATTTCTCACTCTGTATGGATTTCTATGTTGTCATTAGCATCTTGGGTCCTCCTGAAGCTGCCACAAGCAGATTTTTATTCCATATGGCTATTTTGTCAGCCTGTAGCTACAAGAAATATGAAAATGGGAAGGGTAAGTTTGAAGCGGAGACAACCCATACCATTCCATGCAGACAAAAAGCTCTCCTCAGTCAGTTTTGGTTGAAAAGCCCTGCTACCACTCTACCACTTTTTCTCCTGGGCTAAGGAAAACAGCTGTTTATATTTTAATCTGTCTTTACACCCAGCTCTAAGGAGGAATAGAAATGCATGGATCGTTCATTATCCCTTGCATATAGAAAAGAAATTGGTTGAAGCAGAAAGTCAAATGGACTTTAAGAAGTTTTCTGTATTGACTCATTTCCAAGTTGATTAAATGCTCTTAAGTGCAGCCTATGCTCTTCTCCGTGCAAATCTAGCTATTGGGTATATAGATTCATATTTACATGTATACAGATTCCAATAGTGTTAAAAGCCCCAAACCTCCAGACAGCTAGAAGTATTAGTTCACAGGAATTTAAAATTAAATTAAATAGCTGGGCTGTTTTCCAGATGATTTTTAAAGTTCCTGTGCTTACACAAAAACCTCCGTAGGATTTACATTACACTACTGTATTTGTTTCAGTGAGCATTTGACTGCCAAGAATACGGTCTATGACCAAAATGGCAATCTAATTAAATATTTGACAAGCAGAAAGCTGGACATTATTCAAGTCAAGCATTAAATTAGAAAATTTAGTTTGTCTCCTTTATCAGTAGATTTTTAAATCAGCCTATTCTACCAAAACCCGTAACTTTAATGAATTTGGTCAGACATACTGTGTAACAGATGTCTAACATACAGCCAGGAGCCTAAATCATAAAAATGATGCTTTGCTTTGGCACGGCAAAATATATATGAAAGGTCAGTCACCAGCAACCTGCTTGCTGGTAGTTGAGAAACAGCACTGTAAAATGCATGAGCTGCCTTCTGTAGTCTCTTATAGGAAGCCTTGGAGAGCCACAGATAATTTGCTTTCAATGATTCATCAAGTTGGCCCTTTGTTTCACTAATTTGAGTGTCAAGTGTAACCACATAATAAAGAATTACCGAGACCTGATAAGATTCTTCTTACATTGCTCTGTTTGTCTGAACAACTGGTACTGTTGAAACCAACCCTACAAACTGCATAAACAGCGAGTGTGTGTGCAATTGGTGTCTTCTCTGGAGTGATAAAGGTGTTTACTGCGTTATCCACTGGTGAAACACACCTTCATGTTTCTTTTCCCTTTCTTAAAAGGCACTAATTGCAGCATGCTGTGCCCATGTTAGATATGGCATTTGTTTCACTGTTAGTCCTCCAATGAATTAACAAAGATAAAAAATAGATTTCAATGACAATTCCAGCCTTGAGAAATGTGCTATTGTGACCATGGTTGAGTTACCCTGTTGATAGTTTTCTCCTTAATTTAATTTTTAATACTACATAGCTGTAGGTTAGATGTGAAGCCATATATTAGAGGCACTATTTCAATGAGTAGTTTCATGTGAAATAACTTCATGATTAGGAAATTGATTTTTTTTTATGCTGTCAGTCTAGTAACTTCATAAGAAAACAACCCTAAAAATGGCTTGTGTAGAAGGGGTACGTTTATACACGTGGAATTCCCACAGCAAAAGATATTTGTAATCTAGGGTCTGATAAAGTTTTCACAACTGAACTTTACACTATTAACACAAAGAAAGAATAAAAAACTTTAGACGTGAGAGTGGGAAAATGTCCTCCTTCAGAAAGCAGAGAGATGGCATGGGGAGCAAGTCTGTGAGATTTGATTTATAAGACGGAGAAAGCTTCTGTCAAAAGGGTTTGAAACCGGTTGTTAGAGCTTAGGCAAAATTGTGTGAGGGGGCATTGTCAGCGCCGCACAAGGAGTTGAGGGCGTCGATTTTTTACTAACGTGAATTTAAAGTATTGCCTGATCGCTGCCAGCTCCAGGAAACCCAGGTAGCGGTGGGAGAACGAGAAATTTTCCGCTAGGGAAAAATACAAATAATGTAATGTGAAGGTCGTGCCCCGGTACCACAAGCAGGACAGAGGCCTGGGCAGAGGGAGGAAGGGAGGGAAGGAAGGAGCTGCTGCCCCCGCTCCTGCCCGCTCGGGCTCGGAGCGGCGCCGCCCGCCCGGAGCCCGCGGCCATCCCGCCGCGGCCGCGCCCCCCGCGCCGCGGGCTCGCCCGCGGAGCAGCGCCCGAGCGGCAGGCAGAAGTTAACTTCCACCTGCCCTGAAGTCGCCGCTGCGCCGGCAGCAGGAGGCGGGGGCGGGGGCGGAGGCAGGCGGGGCAGCCGAGGACCCGGCTCTGGCAGGCTCCGAGGGTCCGGCCGAGTGTAATTCCCCCCTAATCTCCGCCGCGGCGGCGCTTCCCTGGCCGAGCCATGTCTGCGGCTTCCCCGCCATGCCGAGCCTAGCGGGGAGCGGGAGGACTGGCGGCCGGGAGGCGCACAAAATGAAGACCCTGATGGTAAGTGCATTGTTGGCACGGCTCATCCCGGCTCCGGCGGCGGGGAGGAGAGCAGGGGAGCGGCGCGGAGCGGAGCTGCCCCGGGCACCCTGCACACGCTCCAGCCTTCGCCGGGCTGCGTCCCCGCGGCTCTCCGGGATCGCGCGAAGGCGACCGAACCTTGGTGGCGGCGGCCAAGAACTTTCCGCCTGCTTTCTTTTATTCGTGTTGCTCGTGGTTTGGGGGTTTTGTGTGTGTGTGCGTTTTAAGGAGCGTACAGAAGACCGATCTGCTTAAAGGACGAGGCTGGAGGTATCTGGGCGGGGGGAAGCGCTACAGTCCCCAACACTCGTTAAAAGGCACGAATGAGATGCCCAAAGGGGGACGGCGGCACGGGAGTGAGAGGCGCCGGGTGGCGGGCGCACGGAGGGGAGAAGAGGCGAGGAAGCAGGGCTGGGGGAGAAGGAGGGAGCCACGGGAGCGGGCTGGCGAGGCGGCAGGAGGAGGACGGAGGGGCTTCCCCAGTTCTCTCCTCGCACTTGGGCCGGGTGCCTGGTGGGTGAAACTTGCGGGTGCGCCGGCGGGGAAGCGGCGCGCCCGGCCGGGCCCCGCGGCGGGGGGAGCCCGCTGAGCCGGCTCTCTCTCTGCCCCCCGCAGCGCCACGGGCTGGCCGTCTGCCTGGCGCTCACCACCATGTGCACCAGCTTGTTGCTCATGTACGGCGGCATCGGCATCGGCGGGGGCCGCCCGGAGCCGCGGCGGCGGCAGCAGCAGGTGGCGGCGGTGCCCAGCCGCCCGCCCGAGCGCGGCCAGCGCCACCCGGCTCTGCCCGTCGGGGCCGGCCTCCTGGAGGGATACATCAGCGTCCTGGAGCACAAGGTGAGCCGCCGGCCGCGGGACCCCCCCTCCTTCCCGGCCCCCGGGGCAGCCGGACCCCGCGCTGGCCCGGCCTCCCTCGGGGGACACCGAACCCGCCGAGCTCTCCCTCCTGCCCCTCCTGCCCGGTTCCTCTCGGCGCGGTGGATGTGCCCTGCCTGCCTCCCTGCCGGGGTTGGCTTAAGCGGCCTCCGGGTGCCGTCGCACCTGGCCCAAGAGCAGGAATTACCGGGGTCAGGAGCCGGGCTCCAGCCCGCGGCTGGGTATTTATGCAGTGCTGCTTCTCTTCTCCCCTGCACAGTAGACGGGGGTGGGGGAGAAGATGAAGTGTTTCTAATGTTGTGTGCTCTAGGTACAGTACAAATGTATGCTTATGGTGATATTAGTAAGGACTAAAGAATGAGGTTTATTTACTGGAGGGCAAAGTCAATAGGTGGGTGTTTATTCTTAGCTCATTTTGTCATAGGAAAAAAGTCTCCTGCACAAATGACCTTTTCATCCCCCTTGTGGGAAGCAGAAGTTGTCACCCATGGTTTCCATTCTAGAAATTTGGGGCACTTCTTTAATGGTGAACAAAATGATGTCCCTCCCCTTGACAGAGGAATTACCGGGCTGTATTGTCAGACTATAATACTTGTTTACCAGAGATAGGCAGGCTAAGCTTTGATGGCTCACAGGACAGATGTAGTAACATAAAGTGAGCAAGGTGGCACATCCATGCCAAAGAGATACTCTAGCTTCAGTAGTTTTCTTACAAGGCAGATTCCTCTGCTTTTTGTTTGGTGTTTGGTTTGTTGCTTTCACCTGGAAACTCCAAGGTCTTCCTCTTCCAAAACCGCAGATATAGTTTAGTCTACACACATCTTGCAGTAAAAATTTATTTTAAAAAATAAACAACAGAAATGAGGATTCACAACTTTCTTATGTTTTCACATCCAGACTGACAGTCTTCTGAAAGATATATTGTCAGACAAGTTACTGGGCTCAGTTTAGAGGTACTGTGTGAAGACTAGTGACTTTGATATACAGAGATTTTTATTGTTCCTTCTGGCATAACTTTCTATGCAAGAGTTATCTGTAGGGCTCTTAGCACAGAAAAATAGCACATGATGGTGCCTTGTAGGCTTTATTTACTTTCTTACATGGTTCTCCTGGAAATTCTCAGATGTAATGTCTATAGAAAAAGCAAGTTTGGCCATGGGCTTCTTACTGTCTGATGTGTGCTCTTGTAATTCTTTTGTTCTTCTTGAACATGACTTTAGTGATAGGTGTAGATAGATGTGCACATGGTTGTTATATCCAGCAGTAATTAAAAAGTAATCTGTGGGCTTTTTGGCATGCATGTGTGATTCTGATAGCCTTCTGATTCTGATAAAACCTCACACTCGTTTCTCCAGACTCACAAACACCTCTCATTAACAGACCATACTTAAAGTCCCTGTTCTATTATATTCCAGGATAATTTTAATGTTTACTTGTCTTTTGGAGAAAGATGATCCTTTGTTTTTTTTAATATATTGTAATATGGCCCAAACCCCACAGATACTCTATTTCTGAATTTCATTTCACACAGCTCATGCCTCACAGTAATAATCTCCTGAAGGTTTAATAACTTTTCCACCTAACTTCTGTGGGTCAGAAAGAATATTGTGCTATCCCTGCTGTGTTCCCTGCTTGCTTTGTCTGAATTTAATGCACATGAGATCATGCAGAGAGCTGTACCACTGTGGTATACAGAGCAGTGCATTACCATAAGGAGACTGGGGAGAAAGGGGCTTTGTCTCTTAATAATGTATTTATTTTTGTAATTTAATTTGGTAGTCCCATGTATTTGTCATGGATTTACAATCCCAGAATACATAAGTTCCACCCATAATAAAAAATGGAGAATGCAAAAAATCACAGAAAGTTGTGGTTTGGAAAAAGAAGGATTCAGGATTGGTGATGGTGGGAGAAGAGGGAGAGAGCAAGAACTGAGGAATGGTGAGGCATGTTCAGAGAACCTGTGGTTTGGGTGGGACATTGGAAACTGCAAAGAAGACAACTTGAATAGCAAGTGAAATGAGGGAATTGGGGAAGTTTTAAGGAATGCGAAGAGAGCTGCAGGAAGAGAGCAAGGTAAAATTCTGTTGCTGTGAACAGGACATGATATTTGAAGAGATGGGGAGGTCTGGGAGGAGATGAGAAGTATCTGTTGTTTGAGGACAACAGGCTTGCAAAGGTAAGGCAGGAATGAATTCAGCAATGGTACATGTTGTTTTGATAGCACATGGTGTGAAATGACAATGAATACTAGATTTTTCACAGTATGGCTTCCTTAATTTCCCATCTAGAATCTTGGAATTACTTGTCAGGTTGAATGACCTAAAGCTGAATGACCATTATACAAAAATCATCCTTGGTATGTGCACATGCATGAATGACAGGTAGCAGTAGACCTGGATCTGGTAGCAGTGGAATGTCTGGATCATTCTTGTGTTTGTTTCTGGATCCCATAATTTGCTTTAAGAGAAAAATCTCCTTTCATGTTCGTGGTGTACCCATTCTGGTGCATTTAATGAGAGTAAGTATGCACATATATGTAGAAGCTGTATGCCATGTAGTGAAGTTAGTAATCCATAATCACAATGTCAGTATTGACACATGAGCTGTGTAAGTATGTGGTAGTAAAGATGTTTCTCTTCAGGGATGAAATTGAACAATTGTCCTCATTGTGAAATATCATGTATTACAAATGTCTGTCACTACTAGCAATACAGCTCATTTAGTAGTGCTGGATGATCATGTATGGAGACTATTTGCCAGAAAATCTGGGCACTTAGTACTAAGCAACAATGATTTTGAAATATAGCCTGCAATATTATAATTACCAATTATTTTTCTCCTTTTATTTTATATTCAGTAAGAATTGTAGTTCCTCATCCATACTGTCAAGATAAGCAGGCAGTCTCTGAGAATACAGTAAAATATGTCTTTTTTTTTACTAGGTTGAAGAGGTTTTTTGCAGGAGTTTCTAGTCTTTGCTTTCATAGTTCCTGCAAGCCCATTTTTCCATGAGTCAAGCATCAGAGATCAGAACCCTGTACTTAGCTTTAGTAGCCTTTCACAGTTTAGCAGTGCATACTTAATTTTTGTTGAGCTGAATCCTTGGAACAAAAAAAAAAAATAAATCAGAAATGCTTGGATTCAGATGCAAGTGGATCCTTGTCATCTCACCTCTGCACATCCCAGAGTAACAGCAGTTGACAGGCATTGTTGATGGATGTTTGAAATGAATAAATAGTATCTCTTTTTGTTCCCATAGCCATATGTTGTATCCTAAAAAAATCTCATATTTTGAACAGAAAATACAGTTTGCTGATGGTTGTTATTGAGAGGTCAAGGACTGAAACAAAGGGAAGAAGTGGTGGCTTCTACTTCCAGGAGCTGCTGGTTCCCACGGAGGCACTTTGAGTGTAGCACTGCTTAGCTACGGCATCTGCTCTGCAGTTAGAAAGGACAAGAGTCCTACACTGTCAAAGTGACATCTTTCATGAATTCTGTGGGTGTTATCCTGAAATTAAAGGGGTTTTGTCACTGGCATTGAGGGAAGCAGAATTATGCTCTTCTGTGCGGAGGCATGGGGATAAGCCTTTCTGTTGATTTATCATAGTGCTAGCAAGAAATTACAATGCTAATATTTTTAAAGCGATTACTGCATACAAATAAGAGAATGTTAATGAAAGTAGGAAACCTAGCACTGCTCCAGAACTTGCAAGAAATAAATATTTAACCATTATATTATGATTCTGAAATGAATGTGAGAACATGTCTCTGGATAGTTAAAAGTCTTTTTACCCAGTATTGACTCAACAGTTGGTGCTGCAAATAAAATATGAGTTTGTCATGTATGTAATTGAATAATATTTCAAGCCATCAGGGATTTTGTTTCTTAGAAAATAAAAAAAAATTTAAATCAATTCTACAGTCAAAATGTATGATTTATTAGAAACATTTTAAATACCTTAAGAGCGAATTGAGATCAACATGGTAATTTAAGTGGTCACAATGATTTCTTAATTTATGATAATGTGAATTATCATATGCAAAGAAATCTTGATGATCCCTCTAAATTAATGCAGATCAGAGAATAGTGTAGTTAATGAAGTGTTTGAGGAAGAGTCATTCTACAAATAGTGCTGCTATAGCTCCTTAATCTCCGAGTTGCAGGAAGTTGCTCTTGGGTGAAACAACTTTTTTTTGGATAGTAAACTTTGTGCACTTAAAATCAGGTGGGAATCTTGCCATGTTTTATATTATTATTAGTAATTTTTAAGTCAAATGAGTTTGGAATTTTAATTTTTACCTCACTAAACCATTGACAGTTTGGGGCTGGATAGTTTTGGGGGGTTTCACTAAACCAGCTTTCATAACTAAACATAGAGATGAAGAGGAATCAAATTATTTTGAAGGTTTTATTGTTTTTGTTTTAATGAATTTATCACAGAACCATAATGTATCTTACAGCAAAACAGCTTATCTTGCCTGAGGTGGGATCAAGCCCACAGAGTTATGTAAACCACGTACCATGATTTCATTACATGTTCCTATTTGCCCCTGAAATTCTCACCCGCAGAGGAAGGAACACAAACTTTATTATACAATTAAGGATTTGATGGAGCTTTTATTATGTGAGAGATCCACAAGGGGGAGACTTTATTCTAGAATAACCTTGTTGGGGACACTTCCCTCTATCAGAGACCTAGGCAAGGTGGGAGTCCAAAACGCCCTTTCCTCAGTGCTCTCTTGGCTTCCTGGCTTTTTGTATTTTTTGGTACCGTAGTTACCTACCACTGATAAGCTGTAGGTTTATTTAAATCCTTACAAAGTTGTCGTCTTAAAAAAAAAAATCATGACAGTCAGGGAATGTAACTGAATATCCACACACAGGGAGCAGAGACAATTGTTATTCCAGATTTACAAAGCTTTTAAATAATGAGTGTCCTGTGCTTTACAATTTCTTA